CACAGTTCAAGTGTGCAGCTTGCAACTGCACGAAAGGATGACCTGAGGCTGAGCCTAGGGACTCTACCGCATTGTCCTAGAAAATTCTAACATTGTACCCATGCTGCACTGTGATAAATAAATTGCGATCAGTGGATTACAGTCAATCAGCTTGCTCAGCATGGCCATGTTTGACATTTGATTCCTTTTCTAGGTCAGTTATGGAGAGTGGATGTTCATGATTTTGAAAGGGGTGATCACTTATTGGGTGCATACATATTCAAAACTTAAATTGTACATTTTGAGCACATGCAGTTTATTGTAGCTCACTTATATCTCAATAAAATTGTTTTAAAAAACAAGAGAAAAAGCAACAGTAATAAAGATAGTATGGTTTTGGCATAAGGATAGATTAGTAGAACAGAATTGAAATTCAGAAAAAAGAACCACGTTTATAAGGTCAATTGATTTTCAACAAAGGTGCCAAAAAATTCAATGGGGAAAGGATCATCTTTTCAATAAATTGTGCTAGAATAACTGGATATCAAATACAAAAAGTTACTCATGACACCTGACTAGAAATTTAATTAAAAGCTGATCATTGACCTAACATAGAGATCTAAAGGCATAAAACTGCTTTTAAAAAAAGGAAAAAATACTTGTGACCTACATATAGAAAGTATTCTTTACAGAGGACACAAGAAGCATGAACCAATTAAAAACACTGATGAAATTTATTAAAATTAAAAACAGTTGCTGTTATCAAAAGATTTAACTAAGAAAATGATGAGGCAAACCACAGATTGGGAGAAAACATTTGTAGAACATATATCTGACAAAAGACATGCAGCCTGAATATATAAAGAACTTTTACAAATCAACAATAGGAAGATAAACTACCCAGTTGAAAAATCATAGAGGGATTCAAGGACAGACCATGACAGTAGCCCCATTCCTTCCAGGTCCTCCTTTTTTTACATCTAAAAAACCCTGGACATAACACAACAAACAAACATAGGAAGATTCTGAAAGGTGGAAAGATAACAGACTCTAGCTAGAGATCTTGGAACTTGAGAGAGGAGAGTAATGAGTTTTCTGGGTTTTCTTTTTGCCAACAGTGGAGAAGCCTGGAACTGCCCACAGGCATGGTGGGGAGAGGGCAGCTCCAAGAAAAGCCTGCTGCCCTTAGGTAAAGTACCAGGGAAAGGGTAGCCTAACATAAAATATCTTTTTGATAATACCTGCCCTACTTCAGGCAAACACTGTGGAAAAACTGCCCCACCCTCCTACTCTGGCTCCATAGTTTCAGCAGGAAAGAGGAATCTATTCTACGTACACACACACACGCACACACACACACCTACACACATACAAAGCAGGCGGGGACACTCTGATTCCCCAGCTTGAGTGGTATGTTGGTGGGACCAAGTAAGGAACTGGTCTTCAATCCTCTGCCCAGCAGAAGCAGGTCAGGCACCAATCCACCCTCCTGGGTAATGTCAGCTGAGCACAGCAAGGAGCCAATCCCCACCGTAAATCAGCAAGTGGAATTAGTAGAGTCAGGAGGCTGGTCTTCAACTAACAATCTAATTCCACAACCACTATTCCTCTCTCTCTTTCCCCACACTTAGCAATACTCCCCTGAGGAATGAAGGAAGCAATCCTGGTTAAAATTCAACTCTTTACTTGTTCTATTACTGTACTTACAGAGCCAAACAGGTCTGGAGAAAAATGTAAAATCATGCTATGCTGGCACTAAATACATGGCCAACCTCAAGTGAATCCTTACCATCATCCTTCAGGTGTACAGTATGCAATCATTCTCTCTCCTCCTCCTTCATATGACTGTTTCTAACCTTTTCCTTTCTTCTCAAACCTTCAATATCCCCTTCTCATAGCCAGTCTTACCTGTTCCCTCTGCTTCCTTTACTTAAAGGAAGAAAGAAAGAAAAAAGAGAGAGAGAGAGAGAGAGAGAGAGAGAGAGAGAGAGAGAGAAAGAAAGAAAGAAAGAGAAAGAAAGAAAGAAAGGAAGAAAGGAAGGAAGAAAGAAAGAAAGAAAGAAAGAAAGAAAGAAAGAAAGAAAGAAAGAAAGAAAGAAAGAAAGAAAGAAAGAAAGAAAGAAAAAGAAAGAAAGAAAGGAGGGAGGGAGGGAAGGAAGGAAGGAAGGGAGGGAGGGAGGGAGATGTATGGGAAATGCCATAGGATGACCCCCAGTGGGTCACACTCTTGGCAGATCCATGTCCCTGAGTATGGGAACAACCTGTGACCTGTCTCTACTGAAGAGAACATGGCAAAGATGATAGGATATCACCCCCTCCTTGTGTTATATGGCAAAGGTGAAGGGATTTTGCAATGTAATTAAGTTCTCTAATCAGTTGCTTTTGAGTTAATCAAAGGGGAGATTATCCTGGTATCCTGGGTGGGCCTGATCTAATTAGGTAAGCCCTTCATATTTTAGTGATAAGTGTTCTAATATAGATCTATTAGTGTTTGTACAACTAAAACATTGACCAAAACTCATAAAACCATATTTTAAAATTTTTTATTTGATTTTAATTTTTATTTTACATTGGAGCATAGTTGAGTAACAGTGTTGTGTTAGTTTCAGGTGTACAACAAAGTGATTCAGTTGTACATGTATCTATTCTTTTTCAAATTCTTTTCCCATTTAGGTTATCACAGAATATTGAGCAGAGTTCCCTGTGCTATGCAGGAGGTCCTTGTTGGTTATCTATTTTAAATATAGTAGTCCATAAAACCATATTTTTAAATGGGTAAATTTTATTATATTCAATATTACTTCAATAATTTTTTAAGCTAATGTTAATGAAATGGAATAGGACCCTTTGGTCCTTGTCCCCCATGTCCTCTGCCTGCCCTTTGTCTGTGGAAAAACTTTAGCCAAAGAATGAATTTAATCAGAGAAGTAAGAAAATGCAGAAGCAAAGAAAATCAGTCAAGCAGGACAAAACAATAATCGTTTAGTCCCTAAGCATAGTCAAGGACCTTTAGTTCCTTCTCAAAGGCTGTAGATAATATTCTAAGCCACATCCTGTGAGCTGTCTTGTAGATACTGAAACCTGTGCCAGGTGGAAGAAGTTAACTACATGATGACCAGACTGTAGCCGTAATATAAGCTGCCACAATTCCAAGAATTGGACACAAGGAAATGGGAACAAACTGACCCCGGAACTGAAGATTAACTGTACTTAAGACAATCAAGATGATGCTCGTCAGACCACTGTATGACCAATTTCAAGATGACTGTCCAAACTAACTGTACTGTTTCTACATGTAGTCCCCTCCTTCTGCCAATAAGAGCTCTTGCCCACTGGCTGTCAGTGGAGGGGAGTAAGCCTTTGGACGGGAGTCCGCCCTCCCCCTGCCCGTTTCAGGCATCCAAATTAAAGCAAACTTTCCTTTCCACCAAACTTGCCTCTTTATTGGCTTTTGAGCGGTGAGCAGCCAGACCCCACTTTCAGTAGCTGTAAGACACCCCCTTTGCAATGGGACTCCAGCAGCAGAATTTAGACCCAATGAAAGGTTGAGAGTTAGAGATTATTCCCCCAGAACTTGCAAACCATACTACTGGGATAGGTACTTATTTTTAATATTGTTTGTTAGGAGGAGACACTGGAAACTTTATTCAAATGACACTAATTTCTTTGGTTTACCCATGCCATGGTCTAGGTATAACTTGAGTATTCCTGAGTTTTCCCATACTTTGAAAAGTGGAATAAATAAGTTTCAACTCTTTAACCATGTAATCTTTTCCAGGTTCATTAGGCATATTCAATGAGGTATTATTTATGGCTTCTCTAGAGTCACAACAGAGTTGACTTGTTGCTGTAGAGACCATATGATTTGTAAAGCCTAAAATATTATCAGACGCTTTACAGAAAAGTTTGTCAACTTCTGCTTTAGAGAAAAGAGAACACATTCTTCCTGTATCTATTCTAAATAGAAAGGAAACATAGATAATGAAACTGATTAGACATAGCTGATGTGTATGCGCTTATTAAGAAAGCTAAGAACAGAAATGTAGATGGCCAACAGGCATATGAAAAGATGCTCAACATCGCTAATCATCAAGGAAATGCAAATCAAAACCACAATGAGATATCACCTCACACCTGTCAGAATGGCTATCATCAAACAGAACACAAATAAATGTTGGTGAGGGTGTGGAGAAAAGGGAACCCTTGTGCACTGCAGGTGGGAATGTAAGTTGGTACAGCCACTGTAGAAAACAGTATGGAGGTTTCTCAAAAAACTAAAAATAGAACTACCATGTGACCCAGCAATCCCACTCCTGAGTATATACCTGAAAAAAAAAAAAACCCACTAATTTGAAAAGATTCATGTACCCCAATATTCATGGCAGCATTATTTACAGTTGTCAAGATATGGAAACAACCTAAGTGTCCATCAACAGAGGAATGAATAAAGGAGATGTGATAACACACACACACACATACACACACACAATGGAATACTACTCAGCCATAAAAAAGAATGAAACTTTGCCATTTGCAGTAACATGGATGGACTTGGAGGGTATTTTGTCAAGTGAAATAAGTCAGATACAGGAACACAAATACTGTATGATATCACTTATATGTAGAATCTAAAAAATACAGCAAACTAATGAATATGACAGAAAAGAAGCAGACTCACAGATATAGAGAACAAACTAGTGCTTGTGGGGTTGGGGGAATATAGGGGTAGGGGAGTGGGAGGTATAAACTACTGAGCGTAAGATAGGCTCAAGGATGAGTTGTACAACTTGGGGAACATAGCCAATATTTTGTAATAACTATAAATGGAGAGTAACCTTTAAAAATTGTATAAAAATTTTTTAAATGAAATTAAAAAAAGAAAGCTGATAAACAACATTTGCAAAATCTAGTTCAGCTAACATGCTGCTAAGTTGTAGCTTATATTTATTAAAATCATTAAAATTAGCAATTGTTATATTAAGTAACTCAATGGTAATTTTATTTTTGTTTTGGTATCCCAGGTTTTATTGGATCATGAGCCTAAATGCAACTGTTGTCTTTCTGGGACTGTCTTATATCCAGCACTTGGCGGCCTGGGCCCTGGTCTTACTTAATCCTTTTATGTCTACACTTATGGCTCTGATAACCCTTTGTATGATGCACTATAACCTGATTTATCAGCCAGGAAAATGTAAGCAAATAACACTTTACATGGATTTATTTGGTTCCTATGGTTTTCTCAACACATCTTCTTCCTCTTGGATCCCCTATAACTTCTCTTTCAACTCAGAAAATTTGCAGAGTCTGTCAGTTATTATACTTGAGAGCAACAGATTCTTCAAGAATATCAATAATCTCTATCTTCTTTGATCAAATTTTTCCATGTTTGGGCAGTGAGGTACTCTTCATGTTGGGCCTGAGTCCTTCAGATAAGCCTGTGTTGTCTTTGAATGCTTCCTTGCTTTCTGGTATGCCAAGGTATTCTATGGTCATCATTCTCTTCCCTGAACTTTGAATCATCTCTTTCTTAAAGAACTGTTTCCTTTTCTTGTATATATACTGGTATTTAGAGACTACAGTCTTGGTGATGGAGATGCTCATCGCTACTTAGTCCATCATGGTTTCTAGGTCTTTCAATGCTCAGACCTAGAAATTGTCCTTTTCTTTTTCTCTAAGATAACATACATTTTGGACTATACGAACACCATAATCAAAACTGGAACTACAGGATTCTTCCTTAACCTTATCAAACTCACGTCTTTTTCTACTTCTTCCCATGCCAAAATCCCAGTTCACAATGATTATTGACAGTCTCAAAATTCTTCTTAGTTTTTTTCTTTATGTTATAATCCCTAGGAATGTACACGAAGATGATTATGTTCTAAAGTCACTTGGTATAGTTCCTCTCTGTTTGGTTATGCCACTAACTTTAAATACAATTAAGTGCATTTGTTCCATTGGTGAGGTTAGTTTTTTTTTTTAGTTGTTGATAGAGTGTAATATGATTCTTATTTTGTGTTAAGCACTTTACATCCTGTATCTCATTTCATACCATATCAACAATAGGAAATAGTGTTAAAATTCACTTTTTGCATGTAAAGATTTAGACAAGAGTTACTAAAATCTGGACCCAGACCATTCCTAATATATTGGGAAAAAGCACAGAATCTTAGTAGCTCTGAACCCACAAGTCTCCTATCCAAAGTATTTCTATATTATATTATACTCAGTCTAGCCCACTCAAAGCTAAATGTGAAAACTGTTAAATAGCTCATATAACCCTGTCATAAGCATATATTGTTTAACATCCAGCACTGATCCCCCTTAAATCACAGTAACAATACTTCCTGTATCTTTGAAGGACCCACAGGTCTTTGGAGACCTTATTGAGCTACACTGTGAAGCCTTGCCTGTTGGACTTTTTAATTACATACCTGCATACATCAGGTTTTTCTTTCTTCCAGTTTTAGTGAGATATAATTGGCATACAGCATTATATAAATTTAAAGTGCACAACATAATGATTTGACTTCCATACATTATGAAATGATCACCACAAGTTTAATGATGGTCCATGACCTCATACAGATACAAACTACAAGAAAAAAAAAAATTTTTCCTTGTGATGAGAACTCTTAGGATTAACTCTCTTAACAACTTTCGTCTATAACATACAGTTGTGTTCATTATATTAATCATGTTTTACATTATATCCCTTGTACTTATTTATCTTATAACTGGAAGTTTACACCTTTTGACCATTTCTGTCACCATACAAAGATATTACATTGCTACTGACTACATTGTCCACACTGTATATTTCAACCCTGTGACTCATTTATTTTGTAACTGGAAGTTTATACCTCTTAATTTCCTTCATCTATTTCATTCATCCTTTAAAAATCCTGAGGTATTTTTAAAATTTGAAAATTTTAAATACTTGGAAGCATTTTAAAAATTTTATTTTGTTTTAAATCTTAAATAATTTTATGGATCTAAAATTCATGCACAAACAAGGTCTACTTGTATTCCTATATCCCCTCTATTCCTTTAGGTGTCCTTTTACATATTTTTAAAGAATCATCCTTCCATTTTTTAAATAAAGAAAAATACTAAAATTGTATATATGTGTATATATCTCTATGTATATGTATGTATTTCCCCCCTTCTCCTATAAACAGTAGCATTTTATTCACCTGCTTTTTTCATTTAATATAACCTAGGAATTGCTTCATAACTGTATATAACAATATTCCTCATTCTTTTTCTAGCTGGATAGTACTCCACTGTTTATTTTACCAGTCTTATATTGATGGATGTTTGGTTCGTTTCTTTACTTCTGCCACATTAAATAGGTTCTAAAGAATAGCTTGGTGCATACCTCTCTTAGCATTTTTTCCCCAGCAGATCTTTAGGATAGATTCCTACAAATTGGATTACTAAATCAAAAAGTAAATCCACAGATAATTTTGCTATATATCGCCAAATTCCCTTCTGTAGTGGTTGTACCATATTGTATTTCCACCAAAAATGTATGACAATGACTATTTCCCTACAATCTCTCCAATTTTTTTCAATTTTTAGATTTCTATACACTGAAGATATTCTTTGTTTACGATAAAAGTTGCGAATATTATTCCCATTTGTCATATATCTTTTAATTTTGCTTCTTGTGTTGTTATCCATGCACAACACTTATTGTTTGTTTGTTTTGTCTTTTGTGTGGTTTTTGTTTGTAATCAGATTTATCAATCTTCTCCCTTATTGCTTCTAGATTTTGATTCATGGTGAAAAAGTTTTCCTCATTCCCAGATTATAAAGGAATTCATTCATATTTTCTTTTGGTATATATATATATATACCTTTACATCTATGACCCATTTGGAAATTATATTAGAATAAGTTTTATGAGTGAACTCAATTTTATCTTTTTCCCATATGACTGTCACATTATCCAACCTCACTCATTAAAAAGTTTGTATTTTCCCCGCTAATCTGAGATGCCACATCCTTTGTATATGGCCACTTGCATTTCTAGAGTTTCTATTCTGTCCCTTTGGTTAGTCAGTCTACCTGTATTCATATTCATCTATCTTGTTTAACTCTGACCTTAATTTCTAAATAACACATTTTACTTTTAGTAGTACTTTGACTGCTACCACTGTTTCTACCACTTACCTATACAACTACCAGTAACAGCAGTGCAATAAGTTATATTTTTAAAAATTCACTGTTGTTACTTCATTTCTCCACATACCAGTGAGGTGGGCAAGAAGGGCCCCATATTTCCTTTTACAGACTAGACTCCATGTCCTATGCCCCTGCTCCTGTACCATCCTGAGCTATCTTTTTTTTTTTTTTTTTTTTTTTTTGCGGTATGCGGGCCTCTCACTGTTGTGGCCTCTCCCGTTGCGGAGCACAGGCTCCGGACGCGCAGGCTCAGCGGCCATGGCTCACGGGCCCAGCCGCTCCGCGGCATGTGGGATCTTCCCGGACTGGGGCACGAACCCGTGTCCCCTGCATCGGCCGGCGGACTCTCAACCACTGCGCCACCAGGGAAGCCCCCTGAGCTATCTTTACCATTTCACCTAACGTGTTGTGTTGAAATCATCTATTTCTGAATATAGTTAGAAATTCCTGTGCTGTGTACATACTTGGAATATGGTAAATGCTCAGTGTTTGATATTGTTAAACTGAGTACAAAAAATGAGACATACTTGAATTAAATGACTTGCCCAACATGTCACAGGCAGTGGCTGAAGTGGAACCAGAACCCAGGCCTACCTTTTCTCAGGCTAGAGCTCGTTTTATTACACCACATACTGAAGCAGTGAAACAGGGAAAACATCATCCCCAGAAGCCTCTGCTTTGTTCCTCAGAGCTCTGTGCTCTGTGGATCACAGCCAGGCAGTACACAGGCTCCTGTAGTCTGTGGAATGGGTTCATTATGCAAAAAGGGTCTGAGAGATCCTCTCTGTCAGCCCCAAAAAGGCAAAAAAGAGGAATAAATAAACTTACCAAAAGACCACTTTGACGTAAAGTGTGTAATTATCAAATAATTCTGATTTTTTGTGACTAATTATGTATACATAGTTTTCATATTCAAATTTTCTAAATAACTATTTGGCATCCAACCATTTGCTTCCTAATCTCCTATTTGAAAATATATTCATCTGAAGAAAGAACTACAATTCTTCAAGTAATACAAATCTGAACACCTCTGTTTACTGCCAGCCTACTCTAGTCCATATGTTACATATTTTAACATGTGATAAGGTAACCTTCCTTTGGACATTTACAAGAAAGAAACTGCATTAGCTGCTAGTAAAATTATAATATAAAATGTTCACCAGTGGTTTACTTTATGCAATACTATATCAAATGAATATTTTGGAGTTGTTTTGCTTTGTTTTGTTTTCTATTTCCAAGTTATACGATCACCTAATTATGATGAAGTAAAACTCTGTCTTGCCTCTAGAAAAGTATATAATCCTTATTTTGGCTTCTTCCTCTCTGATGACTAAATTGGAAATTCCTCAAAGCTGTAATTCAAAGCCATAGGTGACCTTAAAGAAATGATTTTTTATATGCTACCTTTTATTTTAAGGTAACTTTTCAAATGTGGACCATGCGTTCCATTATGTTTAGCTGTCAAGCATGGCCTTCATTTGCATTTCTTCCCACTGCTATAATTTTGAGAACTGGCAGGTGACCAAAGAAGAAAAAAATGTGCATCTACCATCTACAGGGCAATGTAGGCTTTTTTTTATTATAATTAGGTAGCATAGATATTCATGATTAGATCAAGGTCAGAGGAGCAGAACGTCAGAGCTAAGAACTTAAAGGTACAAAGAATAGAAATATTGCTTTCTAAAGTATTTCTTTTTTAAATAGTAGTGGCTACAATCTTTAAGTTTTTCAACAAAGCATTTAAAATAGCTCATCTATTTTATTTTAAAATGTGCACGCCTGGTGTGTTTGCCATGCACGTTTAAACTGGAGCTTGAAGTTTCACTTCAGGTTTTTTTTTCAGCTTCCCATTTCTGCTCCTGGTGCAGAAAACCAATCTGGGGATTATAATGACAACGGATTTTTCTTTTTAAGGCTGAGTCTACAAGACACACAAAATTATTTGTACAGAAGGCATGAGTTTTCTATTAAGTCTAATAGATTAATCCAGGAAGGTGGTGTGATGTTTAGATGTAGAGGTTTTCACGGGGACATCCCTCCTAACACTCGGGATAACTACCTTTGGATGGGACAATGGGCGCTCCCTTTGGGTAGACAGATTACCATATAGCTCCTTTTCTTGACCGCTCTAACTTACTGGCTCCCTCTCAGTCCATCTGATCAGTTTAGGTTTATTACTTCCTCTTCTCTCTGACTTACAACCCATGTAGTTCATTGTCCGCTCTTGGGTACCTTTTCTCTTCTCACAGTCTCCTAATGGGGAGCCCTCCGATTTATTCTAGGGACCCCACTCTTCTCACCCTCTTTCCTTAAGTAACCTCTAGTCCCACAGCTTTTAATGCCAACTATACACCAAACGCTCAATTTCATTTGACCTCTTTCCTCACCTTGAAACTCATATATCCAACTTCCTATTCAACATTTTGATTTTGTTACCTAGCAGTCATCTCAAATTTAACCTGACCAAAACTCAACTCTTGATTCACCCAACTGCAAACGGATTCCATTCTTGTCTTCTCCATCTTCATGTAAGTCACCGAAACCCAGTGGTTTAAGGGGAAGGAAAGTAGCATCCTCAAATCTTCTCATTTCTTCAACCTCTCCCCACATTGGAAGATCCTATTGATTCTCTAACAACACATCCCATTCTGTTCGCTTCTCTTCTTGCTGTTTTATGTCCAAGTCATCATGACTTCTTACCTGTATTCCAGCTTCCTCTTTTGTTCCTTAAAATCCATTATGCATACAACTACTAGAGTTCCAGAGTAACTTTTTAAAAATATACATCATATGTCCACTCTGCATAAAATTTCTTAATGGTTTCCCATAACATGGAGAATAAACTCCAAGCTCCTTATTTTTTTTTTGTTTTTTTTTTTGTTTGTTTGTTTTTGCGGTACGCGGGCCTCTCACTGTTGTGGCCTCACCTGCTGCGGAGCACAGGCTCCGGACACGCAGGCTCAGCGGCCATGGCTCACGGGCCCAGCCGCTCTGCGGCATGTGGGATCTTCCCGGATGGGGGCACGAACCCGTGTTCCCTGCATCGGCAGGCGGATTCTCAACCACTGCGCCACCAGGGAAGCCCCCAAGCTCCTTATTTTTGGCCTGTAAAGTCTGACCCTAATCAAATCTTAGACCTCATCTCCTTCCAACATTCTACCTGAGCTACTGCCTCATTGGCCTTTCCTGTTCCTGAGCTTCTCCCTTCTCATTTCTACTTCATGACATGCCTGATATATGCTTCTTCCAGGTCTTTTTGCCTATTTCCAGTCTATTCAATCCTCAGTTCAAATTTCAACTCTTTAGGTGTCCTCTACACCCTACCCACAATCAGTCTCTATCTTATCACCTCATTTTGTTTTCATCATTGAACTCACCTAATATTTCTCTGCTTGTTTAGTGTCTTCTCAGGGATCTCTAGATCTTGTTCACTACTATATTGTTAAGGCCTAGAAAAGTCCCTGACACATAGTAGGTACGTAATAAATATGTTAAATGAATGAATGATTGCATTCACATTTGTTTGGCATCAATTATGCACACTTGGAGGGCTAAAATTTTAGACCTCATTCATACCTAATCATTTCTTGTTCTTAACCATTTTGTTTTTGCTGCTTCATATCACCATATCAGGTACAATTATACTTGTTTAAATAAATTAATTTTTCAAAGTGTGTATTCAAGGCAGCGCTACTCAAAACTTGGTCCATGGGGTAGTGCTGATCATAAACTGGTGTGCAACATAGAAAATAAAGACACTGAGAAAAAACATGTAGAAATATTATGGAAAGTTACATCGTATGTCTGTTGAATCTAATAATCAAAAGATCAGGTTTTATATTTTGTATCTTTGTTTTTATTTTATTTTTTAGGTATTCCATTTTATCGTATTTCACAAATGTATTGACCATGATAGTTGAGAATTTTTTTAAAAAAACTTATCTTTTAACACAGCTAGTTTCAGAAGCGCTAATCCGAACTACCTTTGATATGATACTACCTACTATGATAGTGGTATTTAACTACTTAATAAGACTGGAGGTATCAATTTATCATGCATAAAAGCAGATCCAAATTTATCTTGTGACAAATAGTGATTTGTTTATATGGAAAAGAACTAGTGGGTTTAAAACATATTACATTCAATAAAGTCCTGAATTTAAAACATAGGAAGGAAATTGGGGAGAATACCTCTTGAAATAACCCTTCATCCTGCAAATAGTTATTGTTTAATAATGAAGTCTTTTTGAAAGCACAGAGTAAGTTGGATCAATGCCAGTAATGACCCTCCTGTCTACATGGCATTGTTTCGCAAGAGTTGAGCAGAGAACAGGTTGATGAGCAACAGAGATAAGATGAGAAGGAAATGTCAGGAAGTTAAGCCTCCTAGCCCAGACCTGTTCAAATTCAGTCTCTAGACTGTTCATCAAGACATTCTCAGTTTTCATCTTACCAAAATCTTAAGTAAACTAATTGAAACAGCTGGGAATAGTCTCCTAATAGAGAAGTTCTTTCTCCAATAGTAAAGAGATGTCCCAATGACTTCCTTGTTAAGGAGACACAGACCTTGGTCACTCACAGGTGCTTCTGTTCTCTTGGCCTTCTCAGTTCTGGTCTGGCCACAGTGACTAAGAGGCAGTAGTGACTGTAGGTATGAGCCTATCTCCTGCCAGCAATTATCCCGACCTACTTCCACTTGACCTCAACACACTTCACAGAGGCCTCTGCTGTAATCACTCTTGGTCACTACCAATTTGGGCTGGATTGGATTCAGTGACTTAGAGGTGAAAGGCTCCATATTCCATTACCAGGCTCCCAGCTTCCTCAATTAATCAAAGACTGACATAATAGGTCTATTACAACTCTTAAATAAAAGACCAGATCAAATCACTATCATCACTCTATAACCATAAAAAGAAATATTAATAAATACCCTTTATTTAAATATAAAACCCAATACCCTGTGGCATTTAAATGAACTTGGTTAGAAGGCATTTCACCTAGCATTTTACTATAGGAAACTTGAACATAATTAAAATGATGATCAAACTATTATCTGAGTTTCTACAGCAGCTTTCTTTGGAGAAACTCCAACATTTTTATATTTATTTTATCGTTTGTCCTGCAGCCATGGTTTGGTGTCTTGGTAATTTGTGAAACGGTTTATCTGGTCAAAAGGAGTGCTATGAGAAGTTGTATCATGATTGGCACAGCTGAACTGCTAACCAAACCGGGATCTCTTATCTGTCATTGTATCAGGAAGTCCTAATGGAGTCAAAGAACAGGTGAAATCTGAAAGATCATAAAAGAAGCAACAATGAGATTGCAAATCACTAGCAGTAAGTGATTGCAAACATCTAAAGCAATAAAATACTGCTGATGCTAAAGCAACAGCCATATAAACCCAGAGGAAACTACTGGACAAGTCAAAAGCCAACTAATCTAATCTGAACTTTTAGTGACACTATCAACATACATAAAGTCATTTGAAGAGTTCAAAGTTTAACCTTATGTCTGAAATTCAAGGATAAAGTCAAAGCAGAGAAAATATTTCCTTTCATCTACATGTCAAGATAAGAGACCGCCTCTTACCTAACACGGAAAGTGCGGATTATTTATATGGCAATTTATATTAAAAACTAGTACTAGTTCTTTGTGTTAAGGCTGTAAATGAAACTTCAGGTTGTCTTAGTCATTAATGTGTTCAAGTTAGAGGCTTCTGAGAGACTCTGAAATCTTTTACTTTGGTGCTTTATTTTGTCACCTTTCTTCCCTTTTTAATATGCTTCCACTGATCTTAGCTTTTTCATTTTTTACATCATCTGTCAGGCACCACCTTGGGCTGGTCACCAGGATGCCAGAGCCCTTGTCAGAAGCTTACTCCTTTGAATTCAACCCCTTGGGTGCTAAAATCTTCTCAATCACTTTATTGCCTTTCATCCTTACAACTGCCATCTTTCTGATTGACATTTTGGAAACTTGAAGAACAGTTCCTTTACTAATATGTAATATTTCCAATTGCTTGCAGGTTGCTCCCTCCTGACAACCTTTGGGGTGTTTGTTAATGCACTAAAAACATGCTGTCTGCAGTATTGCCACCTTGGTGGAGGTGTGACAAGCTGGTTAGACCATGCCAAGGAAAAAAATGGCGCCGCTACAGTGAGCTCCATGTGGAAGACACAAAATTTTTCTTCACCCTTCTCCCTCTCTTCATTTTTCAGCTCCTCTACAGAATGTGCCTTATGCAGGTGAGGAAAGGTAATTAATACTACCCCTAGCAACAACCAAATGACTGCATGTTAACATAACAAGTGAACATTTCTTTTCACCCCAACAAGTGCTTCCCATATACTTCATTAGGCTGTTATCATATAAATACATTACAGACTCTAATTTTAAAAGCTAAGTGGGGTCAGACAGAGGCATACCTGAGCAGGACCTGGGTGTAATGTTTCTCCTATAGAACTATGAATGTCTGTCAGTAGGTGCAGACAATACTTCAGAGAATTTGTCATAAGGCCTAAGAGTAATGCACAAATGTGAGATCTATGGTTAATTACCCAACTACTCCCTTCCAAAGGTTTTGCCTTCCTCCTTGACCAAGCCTTTAAAAACTGGTACTAGCAAGTAGCTAAAATGGCTGATTTGAGTACCACCCCCCACTGTACTCTTAAGTATAAATACTAATCAGCAAACGATTCTTTCCCTACCAATTCTTAGTTCCCTTGGTGAATCAGTCCCTATGCTATGAGGAAATCAAGGGGAAAATACTAAGTCCAAAGTACTGTTTATAAGTATATGTGATTTTAATACAATTTTAATGTAGTAATGGTCAAAGAGTCACTTACTTATGAAGAAATATAAATGATTATAAAAGTCTTTGAAGAAATTTGGGACTCTGCATTACTAACCTCTACCTTGGAATTAGATGGCTAATGAGTGAGCTATATTCTTAAATCACAGAATAATAGAGCTGGGAAAAAACTTAGAGATTAACTTATTCAACTACTTCATTTGCTGAAGAGGAAACTGAGGCTCAGAAAAATTAAGTGATTTTGAAGGGGATAAGGAGGTCATACAGTGAATAGTAGTGAGGGAAAAGCAGAATCTACCTTCTTATTCTTAGTACAATGCTTGCTTCTCTAAACCAGGGGTCAGCAAATTATTACCTGCAGGCCAAATCAGCCCACTGCCTTTTTCATATGTCCTGCAAGGTAAGAAGGTTTTTACATTTTTCTATGGTTTAAAAAAATCAAAAGAAGAAAAATGTTTTGTAGCAAAAGACAATTATATGAAATTCAAAATTCAGTGTCCGTACCCACAGACATAGAAAACAAATTTATGATTACCAAAGGGGAAGGTGGGGGGTGGGGAGGATAAATTAGGAGTTTGGTATACACACTACTATATATAAAATAGGTAACCAACAAGGACCTACTGTATAGCACAAGGAACTATACTCAATATTTTGTAATAGCTTTAAGGGAAAAGAATCTGAAAAAGAATATATATATATATACACACACACATACACACACACACACACACATATATATATATATATATATATATATATATATATATAAAAATATATGAATCACTTTGTGGCACACCTGAAACTAACACAACAATGTAAATCAACTATACTTCAATTAAAAAAAAGAAAGTAGCCCGTGCACAGCAACAAAGACCCAGTACAGCCAGAAATAAATAAAATTAAATTCAAAAAAAAAAGGAAGAAAGTACAATTGTTAGAAAAGGATAAGTATAGAACTTCTGTTTGGTTAGAAGGATCCTGTCCTTCTAACCAAACAGAATAAAAACTTCTTTTTTAAAAGAAAAAAAATTCAGAATCCATAAATAAAGTTTTATTGGAACACAACCACTCCTGTTTGTTTGTCATAGTATGTCTGCTTATGCATGGAAACAGCAGAGCTGAGTACTTGCAACAGAATCCACATGTGGAAATACTGTCTATCTGGCCTTTTACACAAAAGTTTGCTGACCCTTGTTCTAAGCAATGCATGAAAGCTAGGCTGACTTAGCAGATTCAACCTCTCTCTTGACTCCACAATAGTAGATGGAACAAAAACACAAAATTACTACCTGTATATATGTCATTAATAGCATGAAAACACACTCCCTCTTGCAAGAGCATCAGAATCACAACTAACTGCTGAGTAATCATCAACAGGAAGACACTGGGACTCACCAATACAGATACCCCACATCCAAAGATAAAGGAGAAGTGTCAATGAGATGGTAGGAGGGGCTCAATCACAATAAAACCAAATCCCATAACTGCTGGGTGGGTGACTCACAAACTGGAGAACACTTATACCACAGAAGTCCACCCGCTGGAGTGAAGGTTCTGAGCCCCACATCAGGCTTCCCAACCTGGGGGTCTGGCAACAGGAAGAATTCCCAGAGAATCAGACTTTGAAGGCTAGTGGGATTTGATTGCAGGACCTTCACAGGACTAGGGGAAACAGAGGTTCCACTCTTGGAGGGCACACACAAAGTAGTGTGTGCATTAGGACCCAGGGGGAAGGAGCAGTGACCCCATAGGAGACTGAACCAGACCTACCTGCTAGTGTTAGATGGTGTCCTGAAGAGGCGGGGGTGGCTGTGACTAACTGAGGGGACAGGGACACTGGCAGCAGAAGTTCTGGGAAGTACTCCTTGGCGTGAGCCCTCCCGGAGTCCACCATTAGCCCCACCAAAGAAACTGTAGGCCTGAGTGCTGGGTTGCCTCAAGCCACACAACCAACAGGGAGGGAACTCAGCCCCACCCATCAGCAGACAAGTGGATTAAAGTTTTACTGAGCTCTGCCCACCAGAGCAACACCCAGCTATACCCACCACCAGTCCCTCCAGTCAGGAAGCTTGCACAAGCCTCTTAGATAGACTCATCCACCAGAGGGCAGAGAGCAGAAGCATGAAAAACTACAATCCTGAAACCTGTGGAACAAAAACCACATTCACAGAAAGATAGACAAAATGAAAAGGCAGAGGACTATGTACAAGATGAAGGAACATGATAAAACCCCAGAAAAACAACTAAATAAAGTGGAGACAGGCAAACGTTAAGAAAAAGAATTCAGAATAATGATAGTGAAGATGATCTAGGACTTCAGAAAAAGAATGGAGGCAAAGATCGAGAAGATGCAAGAAATGTTTAACAAAGACCTAGAAGAATTAAAGAACAAACATCTAGAAGAATTAAAGAACAAACAAACAGAAATGAACAATACAATAACTGAATTGAAAAATACACTAGAAGGAATCAATAGCAGAATAACTGAGGCAGAAGAATGGATAAGTGACCTGGAAGACAGAATGGTAGAATTCACTGCTGCAGAACAGAATAAAGAAAAAAGAATGAAAAGAAATTAAGACAGCCTAAGAGACCTCTGGGACAACATTAAACACAACAACATTTGCATTATAGGGGTCCCAGAAGGAGAAGAGAGAGAGAAAGGACCCAAGAAAATATTTGAAGAGATTATAGTTGAAAATTTCCCTAACATGGGAAAGAAATAGCCACCCAAGTCCAGGATGTGCAAAGAGTCCCAGGCAGGATAAACCCAAGGAGAAACACGCCGAAACACATAGTAATAAAATTGACAAAAATTAAAGACGAAGAAAAATTATTAAAAGAAACAAGGGAAAAACCACAAATACAAGGGAACTCTCATAAGGTTAAGAGCTGATTTCTAAGCAGAAACTCTACAAGCCAGGAGACAGTGGCACGATATACTTAAAGTGATGAAAGGGAAGAACCTACAACCAAGATTACTCTACCCCGCAAGGATCTCATTCAGATTCCACTGAGAAATCAAAAGCTTTACAGACAAGCAAAAGCTAAGAGAATTCAGCACCACCAAACCACCTCTACAACAAATGCTAAAGGAATGTCTCTAAATGGGAAACACAAGAGAAGAAAAGGACCTACAAAAACAAACCCAAAACAGTTAAGAAAATGGTAATAGGAACATACATATCAATAATTACCTTAAATGTGAATGGATTAAGTGCTCCAACCAAAAGACACAGGCTTGCTGAATGGATACAAAAACAAGATCCATATACAAGCTGTCTACAAGAGACTCACTTCAGACCTAGGGACACATACAGACTGAAAGTGAGGGGGTGGAAAAAGATATTCCATGCAATTGGAAATCAAAAGAAAGCTGGAGTAGCAATACTAATATCAGATAAAATAGACTTTAAAATAAAGAATGTTACAAGAGGCATGCAAGGACACTACATAATGATCAAGGGATCAATCCAAGAAGAAGATAAAACAATTATAAATATATATACACCCAACGTAGGAGCACCTCAATACATAAGGCAAATGCTAACAGCTCTGAAAAAGGAAATCGACAGTAACACAATAATAGTGGGGGGCTTTAACACTCACTTACACCAATGGACAGATCATCCAAACAGAAAATGAATAAGGAAACACAAGCGTTAAATGACACAATAGACCAGACAGATTTAATTGATATTTATAGGACATTCCATCCAAAAACAGCAGATTACACTTTTTTCTCAAGTGCCCACGGAACATTCTCCAGGATTGATCACATCTTGGGTCACAAATCAAGCCTCGGTAAATTTAAGAAAACTGAAATCATATCAAGCATCTTTTCTGACCACAACACTATGAGATTATAAATCAATTACAGGGGAAAAAATGTAAAAAACACAAAAACATGGAGGCTAAACAATGTGTTACTAAATAACCAAGAGATCACTGAAGAAATCAAAGAAGAAATCAGAAAATACCTAGAGACAAATGACATTGAAAACATGATGATCCAAAACCTATGGGATGCAGCAAAAGCAGTTCTAAGAGGGAAGTTTACAGCAATACAATCCTACCTCAAGAAACAAGAAAAATCTCAAATAAACAATCTAACCTTACACCTAAAGGAACTAGAGAAAGAAAAACAAAGAAAACCCAAAGTCAGTAGAAGGTAAGAAATCATAAAGATCAGAGCAGAAATAAATGAAATAGAAACGAAGAAAACAATAGCAAAGATCAATAAAACTAAAAGTTTGTTCTTTGAGAAGATAAACAAAATTCATAAACCTTTAGCCAGGCTCATCAAGAAAAAGAGGGAGAGGACTCAAATCAATAAAATTAGAAATGAAAAAGAAGTTACAATGGACACCACAGAAATATAAAGCATCATGAGAGACTACTACAAGCAACTCTGTGCTAATAAAATGGACA